CATGGAAACAGTCCGCACAGTCGGGGTCAACCAGATAAAGTGGGTCTCTCAGTCAGACTTCTCGCTTCTAGCTGCGACGCTCTTGAAGCTCACCTTTTGTAAGTGGCAGTGGTCACATTAAATTAATGTACTCGCAGCCTGCGCGCCGCCCAGGGTTACACAGGGCTCTTTGATACTGTGCAAATGGCGTCAGTCAGTGTGCCCTGAGCGTGTTTTTCCAGTACTCAGTACGAGTTTCCTGAAGTTTCTGTGTTTGTGGCTGACTCTGTGGCTATTTACTTTCCAGGTGGATTTGGACAAACAACCGGTGGGAGATGTGCAGTGATGATTCACTTTGGACGGCCGGAGCTCAAGGTTACCGGTTGTGGAAATTGCTGGTTCCGAGTTCTGCTGGCCACACATGTTCTAAGGCCCGTGGCACGCTGAGGGAAGTGAGTCTAAATGGCCCACTGAGCGACTCAAGCTTAAGACAAAGTGAGGGGGCAGTGTCAGCAGCGCCCACTCCAAACACGGGAGACCAGCAAGCGAACAAACGCCAGCGGTCGTAAAATGATTTTTGTTTCCGGCTAAACTTTCGTCGCTTAAATCTGAATCTTTAACAACGTGGTGTCCAATTTAGTTCCTGCTGTAAATTTCTACCCTTTGCAATTTCCAGCCAGGTACATGACGCCAGTCGCTATGGCCTAACCCTTAGTTGTTCGCTTTGAACTTCGCAACTTGTCTAGTGAGTTATTCGCTGTCAGGTTGAGCGAGATGAATTTTGCCAGTCCATTTTGAGAGCGCGGATGGAGGACAAGTGTTTAGTGAGTTGCCCTCTCTTCAACGACGTGTGCTCGTATGAACCCACTGGCGATGCACTTGATGCTGAAGCCTTGACCGCTGGATGGCCATGTCAAGCCTGCTTCTCAGTTCATTCGTTTTTCCAACCGGTTCGCGCTTTCATAATTTGGCTATAGGCTACTTGCTTCTGAAACAACCGGTCTCCACAAATTGTCAACTTTTTGTATACTTTGGTTGATTCATCATCATTGATTGCGTTGGATGTAAGGAGATTTCGTCCGCTGGCAAACAACGTGGCATGCAAGATCCTCGTAGTGGGCTTGCGAAGCAGATCTTCCGTGTGGCCGATCGCCTTCCACGACTGCTTGGTTCTCAGAGTTAAGGGTCATCGTTAGAACCGTTCAAACAGAGTGGGTTGCTCGCTCAGGCGAGTGCTGGTGCTAGAAAATGTCAAGGCCTTGCTCAGCACACAGAAGCAGTGCAGGGGCAGTTTCAACTACCTTCAGAAGGACCCCGGGGCAGTCCATTCATAAAATAAGCGTCAGGGAGTCAGGCACGCTTATTATGTTTTGTTTCCGGCGTTTTAGACACGCTTTGAATAAGACCAATTTCGGATGCGACTGTCGTGGCAGGAGTGCCGCGCGCGAGGATTTCAGCTCAGTTGGGCCACCGTGAGGCTCTCCCAAGTCGGCCTCCCTGTGTGAAACTTAGTACTTTCACTGCATCGTGCCATAGGATTCAAGGTGACAGATTGAAGTGTGCCTTCACTCAAACTCTGACTCTTCAAGAGAGACTTTTGCGGGTTACGTGCTAAGTTAAACTCAAGCTTGCAAAGTCTCAAGATAATTTACTGTTCAGCGGTGGGTTAGAGCAGCAGCAAAGTTAAAGACAGGTTTGAGACTCCAGAACATATCGAACGGTCCAACGACGCAGCCTGGATCTTGAGGCTAACAGATCTCGAGTCTTCCTTTTGGCAGTAAAGCCAGGGGAGCTGCCAGCTTGCTTCAAGGCCGGTTTCACAGAGTCTGAACGCAACGAAGCAAGTGGGTTCTTGAAGCGCGCCCGTCCACTGGTTCCAGGAGTCTCCGCCATACGATGTGTGGCAGTCAAAGGAGTGGAACCCTGCTTGCCCGGTTGACTTCAAAGACTATTTGGAGTCCACTCGTGCTGACGCCGCGAAAGAGCGTCTCAGGGTCTTAGGAAACATTGTTGTACCCCGTCAAGCATCTGTAGGCGCGGCCATCCTCTCTCATGTTTGTCAGACATGGGGCTGACGCGTTGATTTCATTCAGGTTTGAATTTCACCGTTCTCTGAGCTCAGTTCGTGATGTGTTTCAACTTAAATATGAACCTATATAATATAGTGTTGCGTCAGACCCAATTTATGGTTCAATCTAGAAATCCCAGCGATCAGAGTTGGGAAGGGAAATTGCAGCTTCCAGTGATCAATTGGCTGCGCTGCAAGACCTTGCAACCTAATTCATTGTGCGGTAGATGCTGCCTGTTGAACGACCAGCTACCTTTTTGTATTTCAGTTCACGCGCGTTGTAATCACTACTGTCAAGTTTTGATTTCTTGAAGCAATGAGCAGTTGCGCAGTAGGTGCAACTGCCAACTTGGCGAGTTCGACAGGGTCCAGTGTTAGACAGGCCCCTTTGTTTGCAGATGTGTGACCTGCGTTTGTTCTTCTTGCGGGACTATTCACATCAAGATCCAAAACATTGCGGTGCCAGGCTTGGGCGACTACAGTGGTAATTTTCAATTTTTTGAACTGGTCAAAGGCCGCGGAATTTGCTGACAGGTGCCACGTCAAGTTCGTCGAGCTTGACGCTTCCTGTCCAAGTTCTGTGTGGCCCTCAATGCTTTTTGGGTCTTATTGCGGCTGCTCATTCTCATGCTGGGTATTAGGCAAAATTTTCGCGCCGGCTTCTGGCATCTGGATCTAGTCTTTTGGTTTGTGATCCAACCGCAGACAACTATTACTATAGTCACTAATTTTAATTTATACTAAGTAGTAGGCAGCAGACTGCTCAGAATTCTGTCACTGCAAGATAAATCACATTGACGGCGTCCAAGTGATGTTGTCCAGTCATTGCGGTTTTCCTTGGCGTGTCAACTTTGCTCGGCCGCGCCATGATTCGGTGATGGCTGGTCTTCCGCTGAAGACTGTGACTTCTTTTGGTTCAGTGACTGAACTTTCAGAGTCAGAATCAAGCGACAAAGCCGTCGAGGAACGGGACGTTTTAGGCAAAAAAAGGCGCAGAAGAGCGCAGAAACCTCGTGGCTTGACACCCAGGGAGCGATTGGTTGATGTGAAACTTTGTAGGAATCTGGTGGCGCGACGCTGCCAGGGGAAATGCAAACAGAACTGCCTTGCGCGATTTTCGCGCACTGCTCTGTTTTCGCGCTTCATCGATTTTCGGAAGAAGTGGAAGGATCTTCACAAACTTGATCAAGATCGTTTGGAACTTTGTCACGCTGTTAGAACCTTTTCAATCAAGTTGTCTACTGGTTTTAGTTTTGGTTTCTGTTTCAAGATCCAAGCCTTGGGTGCAGTAACCTGACCGTTGACAGTCTGAGGCGTTTGATCGCATGAAGGATGCTCTGCGCGAGGTCGAGCTCATTGGTGCCGTGCAGGTGCAATGGAAGTTCCTTGGTGTGCCCGTTTGCCTTCGTTCATGGATGAGATTGCATTCCCTTGGCTGCTCGTCAAAGTCTGATTCTGCTACTTACTGGCTGCCTGTTTGTTTTTTCTTCCTGCTTTTTGGCATTGATCTTTGTATTGTTTGGTGCCCTATCTTTGCGTCTCCTGTGTTGACTTCCGCTCCTTGTCGCAGAAATTTTACAGCAAACTTAAACCCGAACTTGGCAAGTTTACTGGGCCTTTTGATTGAGAGAGCGTAAATTGTCGCTTTCGGGTGACACATTTCCATTTGGATTTAGGGCTATGAGAAAAGGCCCCTTCAAGGCTTACGCTAAGCGTCTAAAACCAATGCTTTGGAGGGTCCAAACCGCACTTGCAGGGGCCTTCTCTCAATGCAAGTAGAAATTTGGCATGTGTTGTCAGTTCGTGAGTTTGCGTCGCGGGTTTGTCGGTCGTGATCTTTGTCGCGCAGAGGTGTGTAGGCCTGTTTTTCTTTTATCGGTTATAGTTATTTGTTTTCTATTTTTCAATAATTATTGCAGACAAATAGCAGCTCGAAAAGAAAAAGAGCGAGCGCAAGACATGTACTGTCCACGAGGTATAACGTTGAGATTATAGCAAGAAAGGCTGGCAAACCCTAAAAGGCACATTTGAAAAGTGCCCTTTTAAAACCCTTCTAGAAGGTGTTTGGGACTAGAAAAGGGCACTTGTCAAAAATGCACTTTATGGTTTGTTGGCTCGTGTTGGTATTATATATATTTGGCGCTGTGAGAACTGCCGATTTTCCACCCCGATAGGACCGCCCATAAATTTGGATTGAACAAGTTTTTTGACGCACAGACTGCTAATTTTCCACTGGGATTGGCCTGCGAAAAAAAGACCCCCACAAGTCCGGTTTTCCCCTTCAAAACCCTGCATTTCAGGCAGGTCGAACCGGACTTGCGGGGGTCTTTTTTTTTTGGCAGGCCAATCCAAGTGGAAAATTGCAAGCGCAGACCAACGCTGGCCCCAAACCATTAGCCATAATATATGTCTTTACTCAGCTTGGCCATAAAAACGTTGCCCCTCAAGTCACCCGTTAATAGATAAACGCGCGAGGCTTGGAGAGGCCAAAAAGGAGTTTAGGATCCGTTTCAAAGGCTTTTAGTTTCTCCGCAAATGAAACCATCAAGGCTCTCAAAGGTTCAAGCGTCTCTGGGTTGCCGCACAAGCCAACAAGGATGGGCCGCCGGCAGACTTGCGATTCTTAAAGAAACCGCGGTCCAAGGTGGCAGGTGAGACAGGCACGGCCCGTGTGGTCTCCTACCTACAGTCGCTGTATGAATCAATAGCAGAAACTCTGCCAGACATCCGCGATGACGGGGTTACAGCTGAATTGGTCCAGCACGCCAGCAGCCAAGCAGACGGCTACGCAGAGAAACTCACTGCTGAGGGTGTGTCCATCGAGCCAATCCACTTAGCAACCACAGAGAGTGTCCGGAAGCGACCTAGAAAACGCAAGTTCAATCTAGATGTCCACCAGGAACGCCACCCAGAAGTTGCCAAATTTGAGGTTCGTTGGCTGCCTCCAAGCACAATGAAAGAACACTGGGAGACAATGCAAAGTTTGGACGGCCGCGAGAAAGTGAGCTTTTCATGTTTCTGGAGAACATGGCACGTGGAGTTTCCACACTTGAAGATCCGCGCAGCGAGCAGCCACTCCCAATGCTCCACGTGCTTGAAGCACAAAGTCCTTGTGAGAGACCTCTCCAACCATTTGGCGGCACGCCAGGCACAACAACAGCTGCTGCAACACCATTTGATGGCACAATATCGCGACCGCCAGGTCTACTGGTCCCTTCGGGGGGCTTCGAGGCTACGCAGCGCACAGCAGATAACCGTCATAATGGACGGAATGGATCAGTGCAAATTCTCCTTTCCAAGATCCGGGGCCATGGCCTCCAAGGAACTGTGCAACCTGAATCGCCCCCGCCTCCAAGTGACCGGAGCAATCGTACATGGCTATGGATTGTACTTCTTCGTATCAAGCTTTGACCATTGCAAGGATTCAAGCGCTTCCTGCGAAATTTTCGCCCACCTGCTCACACGTCTCAAACAAAGAGGACTCGACCTATCCACTTGCCACATCAACCTGCAATCGGACAACACCAGCAGGGAGGTTAAAAACAACACGCTGCTCCGCTTTGTCAGCGCATGCGTTTCCCACCGTGTCTGGGCGGAGTTGGAGGCTTGCAGCCTTGCACCATTTTTCTTGTGTGATCACACACGCTAACATTGGGGCCAGTTGCTGCTGGCAGCAGCTGTGATGCTCCCAGTGCCCGGAATGATGCCGGTAACATCGGTAGCCTTTTTGCAGGAACATCGCTGTTTTTTCTGAGGCTTGATTGCCAGTGGATGCCTCCTCCAGCTCCGAACGGGGCACTCCCACGAAGACGTGGATCAGATTTTCGGAAGCTTGGCGCTGTGGATCGTTCGCCATGCACGCCACATTGAGAACCCGGCACAATTTACGGACGCCATCTACAACTTTTGCAAAGGAGCTCACAGGCCGCACGAGAGTGAACGAGCAGTAATTCTCATGGACCGTCACCGGGACTGGAACCATGACTTGAAATCAGTTTGTTCCTCCTAAGCCACCCCAATCCGAATTAAAGACTTGAAAGTCGCGCCATTCAAAGCCACTGCATTTCATTCTTCACGGATGTTGAACGAAAACCCAGGAAAGGCTTCCTATCGGAGTCTGCGCCGGTGATGCTGACCGGTGTTGGTGGGCCCGGCGCGCCCCATCATTATGAGTTCCAAAGACGGGAGTCTTTAGGTTCCTACGCGCAGTTCAGGAAACAGTTTCTTTTTCGAGCCAGGTTGCAAATAGAACGCGACGTGTGAGAAATCGATTTTGCAACAAGTCGGTGTCCAGTACCGCCATAGTTTAATTCTGTTTGAGGTTTGGATGCTGCACAGATCACAAGCCCGTACTGGCATTCCGGAGACGGCCTGGACAGTCCGCACGACGTTGTTCTGAAGAATCACGGCTGGCATTTTGTTACCGTAACTATCGTAGCTCTCTAGCAACTTAAAGAAGGCGCTTGCTAAGGGTCAAGGGCAAGAGTCCCCGTTCGTGAGTTGGTGTGGCCAAGCCATTGGACGGTTGAAGCCGAGGACAAAGCAGTACATGGCAGATGTGGGATACAAGTCCTGTCAACTTTGGTACCCCAAAAGGATTGCCGACCTTCGGCTGGTGCAAGGGTCCCCCGCAGGACCCGGTGGCGTTGAAGCGGTTTGATTGTTGAGAGATTTGCCTGATCTTTTTCCACACAAATTGGGATTTTCTTTTGGTATCTTTTGGCAATGTCCACTCTCTTTTGGGTGGGTTGGGCGCAGGAATTGCTGAACAGCGGCAAGTTGACGCAAAGTACCGAGAGCACCTTGTCAAGTACATCCCATGTTTGAGGTCGTACAATTTGGGGGTGGCAGCGGACTACTTTCAGCAGTGGGCAGATGGCTCGCTTGACTTGGCCCCGCTCCTTGATGTCTCGGGGAGCCTGGGCTGCAGCAAAGTTCCATGTTACGGGAGTAAGAATCTCTTGCGACAAGGGGAAAGTGTCAATTGAATGCTGACTTGCAGGTGCGTTTTTGGTTCTGCGCAGCAGCGTGGCGCAGCCCACGGTCTATCTATGGTCCGAGACTTCGAGCCGCGGCCCAATGTTCTCAAGTAGCGCAGCTGTATTCAGGTTGTTTGCAAAGACGTGGTTTTCAAAACGTCCGTTTCCGTTCTCTCCTTGTTGTTCTTTTTGTTGGCAAGGCCTACAATGAGGGGTGTACCATTAAGGCATCCGTTTTGGGACCATTTGTGAGCAACCATTTTCTATCAGCATCAAGGCCTAAGTTGTCGTTAAGGCATCCGTTTTGGGACCATTTGTGGTTACTGTGGTTTTTGTTGACATTACAAGACTATGACCATAATCACGTTGATCAGGTCTTCCGCGCTCATTATCTTTTTCGGTTGATCCAGCACGGGCTTCGCTATATAGGCCCTGTAGGGTTTACTTGTTCGGCGGTTGTGGGTTTTCTTGGCCCAAGACCTCTCCAGCAGGACGATCTGCTTGACGACAAGCTCAGTAGACTTAAGCTCTGAGTTGAACTCGTGTTGTGTGTCCGCTCGTTTTTGCGCAGTCATTTTCCATGTTGGGTGTTTTCTGGAGTAGAGGCAATTGAACCAAGTGGGGGCATGCAATTTCCGACAGGCGTCGCGTTTTTGCACAGGAGGTTGAACTTCATTCTTTAGGGACGAGGTTACCGGCTTTCAACCCTTTGACCATTGCCCTGGTTTCATTTGAGGCTTGTACGTGGAGCAGATGATGCCAAAACCTCCAAGAAGTATTTGGCAAATGCTCGTCGCGCCATGACTTTGGAGGCTGCGGCGCAGGCTTGGGCAAATGGCGTCCCATGGGCCGAAGCACTCCAAATTGCAGAAAATGCAATTTCAAAAGCTTGTCCCAAAGCTAAGCCCTTCCCGAAGCGGAAGGCCAAAGCAAAGGCTCGATCGAGGTGATAGAAACAACAATGTTTAGAATATTTCTTTCACACGGATTCCTGATTTAAAGCTGACGGTTCTGTGTCTTCAGCGTTTTGAGTTGTGATCGTGCTTACACGAATCTAGTCTTACACAAACTTCAAGACATTATGTTGCTAGCCCCGACGCTTCAGAGTCGAGTCGCCGGTGAAAATTGGTCACCATCGACCTGCTTTTTCATGTTCCTTGGTGGTGTCGGATCCCACCCCGCTTTTGACACCAACTGCTGGGTTCAGCGTCACAGTGAGAAGTTTTGGACAGTAAAGGTTGTTCCTATTTTTGTGTGTGACCCATTGTAAGTGTCTAATGGCAGGTGGGATTCCACACCAACCCAAGCTTTGACAATGCACAGGCTTGGTGTGCGAAAAGGGCTCTTTACCTGTGAGTCATTCCCGGAGTGGGTGGCAACCCCCTTCTGGTTGACCCGCTGTTTTGGGGCAACCCTAAACCCTAAACTAAGTCAGCGCTTCAGTTCAAAATCCG